CTTGTAGTTTGAATACAGCATTAGATGCAAGTGCCACCTTTAACACAAATGATCAAAATATTCTTGGTCTCTCTGTGAGTGCTTTAAATTGGTTCTGCTCTTACATATTGGAGATACTTTTTTTGTAACTATGGAAGATCATGTATCAAAGAAATATAAGTTACCTTTTGGTGTTGCTCAGGGAAACTGCCTTGGTCCTCTTCCTTTTGTGTTGTACATGCTTCCTTAAGGTGATCAGAACATTAGCTTAATTTCCACATTCATGCTAATGTAAAATGGACTTGCATTTATATAGGGCCTTTCTTGTCTTCTGACCACTCAAAGCTCTTTCACATTATGTGCAACATTCACCCATTCATTCAAAAACTGATAGCAGAGACTCCCATGCCAATCTGCTCATCAGGCTCTAATTCTCCTCATCATTCAGACGCACATTTGGGCACCTATGGCACAGCCTCTGGGACAGTTTGGGATTCAGTATCTTGCCCAAAGATACTTTAACATGCAGACTGGAGGAGCTGGGGATTGAATTGTCGATCCCCCTATCAATGGACGACCTGCTTTACCTCCTGAGCCACAGCCGCCCCACACATGATGACACATAGCTGTGGATTTTGTTGGACCCAGGTGATGACCAAATCCTTTGTCATTTAACAGCTGGTTTGGCTGATGCAAACAAAATTTGCTTTCTAGTTGGTCCACAAACAAAAGACATACATTCACCAAAACCTCAACAGGATTTACAGCACGATAACACTGAAAGCCAACAGCACAATAACTACAATTAAATTCCCCAGTATATTAAAAACACAGGATTTACAGGAGAAGCAGTGATTGTGGAAGCTGAGTTTTTACTGCGCCTAAAATCAGCTTATCATATTTGATGTGTATGTGGGAGTGTGCTTACCACACACAGGGCACAACCTGCTTATTATAACAAGATCCTGTCATGATGACCAGGCCATGAAAATATTATGCTAAATCATTTTGTAAAACCCTGATACAGATTGTTGTTTTTATGCATAATAAGTAGTGAGATGGCTGAAAGTAGTGAGATGGCTGAAAGTAGAGAGACGGCTGAAGGAGTTACTGATTATACCTTTTATTCTGTCCATGAAACTCAAAGAGATGTAGCACAAGGCTGGCGGACCTACGGCTGGTCCCCCACGGACGATTTGGCGGTCCTTCGGCGGAATCCGCTGGCGGGTGCCTCGATATATGCACATCGAGGAGCAAGTGGACTTCTGTAGTGATTAGTAGCGTAGAGGACAGCAGTCCGCCAGTAATCCGAAATGCTTCCACTGGCAGGTTCCAAGCGGACCTTTGGTGGATTAGTAACTTCAGAGACAGCAGTACACTTGCAATCCGAAATGCTCCCACTATTGCTCCACCACCATTCCACCAGTATTTTATAGTCTATCCTAGGCCCATAGGCCAAGGCTTATGGCTTGCTTCTTTATACAACCCCCTAATAACCAGACATTTACCCTAATAACTGTTAGGGAGGAAAGTGGTGGCTATATCTTATTTAGAAAGAAGACAGGATGGTGTCAGGACAAAGGACTGAAGAGGTCAGAAACTTCTCTCTGAACTGTATTGTGATCCAGATAGCAGTATAGTTAGTGTTCTGAAAATAAAAAAAATAAATGGCCATTAGGCACTGCCATTCTAGTATACAGTTTCTCACATAAGTGAGTACACCACTCCCATTTTTGCAAATATTTCACTATATCTTGTCATGGGACAACACTATAGAAATGACACTTTGATATAACTTAAAGTAGTCAGTGTACAGCTTGTATAGTAGTATAGATTTACCCTCCTCTGAAAATTACTCAAAACACAGCCATCAACATCTAAACAGCTGGCAACATATGTGAGTACACCCCACAGTGAACATGTCCAAATTGTGCCTAAAGTGTCAATATTTTGTGTGCCAACCATTATTATCTAGCACTGCCTTAACCCTTTTGGGCATGGAATTAACCAGAGCTCACAAGTTGCTTCAGAAATCCTCTCCCACTCCTCCATGATGACATCATGGAGCAGATGGATGTGAAGACACCTTGTGCTCCTCCACCTTCAGCTTGAGGATGCCCCACAGGTGCACAGGTGAGTTTAGGGCTTGGGGGCGTTGGCTTTTGCCAGGCAACACCAGTGTTCGGGGCTGAAAGAAAAGAAGAGAAAAGAAAAGTTAACTGTGTTGACATAAGAATACAGTAACAGAGCTTAAAGTGAAAAATTTTCCTGAGCCTGAATTTCACATGTGTGAAACTTTTTTGTATGCTTGCAAAGCACAGTTTGCTGGGATGTTTCTGTGTGTCTACTGGCACCAGAAGGGCTCTTTAGGACTAAGTACATACAGTACATGTGTGCACAGTAATGAGCAGGTGAAATGTTTGTCTAGCTTACATATGAGGTGTCTCAAAATTTAGGAACATACAATTTTATTGAATATAATAAAGTAAAAAGTCACTTGACATGCTGCTGTTTTGTGCTATGACCTATTTAAGTGCTGGAAGTTGTTATTTACGTGACAACACCTGAACGCAACACAAGCTCCGCACCAAATGAGTACCACGCTGCGCTGCTGTGCGAGCAGCGTGTTTGTCTGTGCATAACAGCAGTCAGTTGATGGTTATTTACACACTGTCCATAACAATAACTTTGTCAGCTGACAAACTGCACCGGGCTCGGGTCAGATTATGTCAGGAAAATGCAGCCGAGTCGCTCTAGCGTGCTCACCTGTGTGTGTGGTGGAACTCCGCCGTGCACGATACAGAGAGCAGAGAATTGTTAACACGTGACCATGTAGAGACAGAAATGACACAATGACATAACATGATAAATAGTATATTGTTTTATTATATGAAGCTTCCGTCGCGCAAAATAATATAACTTTAGTTTATGAAGAGGTAAGACGGAGCCCTCTCCTCTCCTCTTCTATAGGCTACTTTACTCGCAAGTGTGTGAATTGACCTGGATAACAGTTAAATCAGCAGCGGTCATATTTCAGCAGCGGCCGTGCACCGGTGCTAGTTGCATCAGTGTTTCCCATACATTCATTTATCTGTGGCGGTGCGCCACAAATAAATTATCTCCGCCACATATAGATTTTTCTGATTTTTGGCGCTACCTGTTCGACCTCGCTCATAAACACATTATAATGGGACTCACTGTCTGTGAATGTAGCTTGTCGTTACAATTCCGGTGCAATAGGTGGCGGTATGCATTGTAAAGACACACTTAACGCACCTGGTCCGCCAGAAGAAGAAGAAGAAGCAGACGTAGTAGCAGAATGGATCTAAAGACCTCTCGGTACAAATATGTGGGCAAACATGTCCAAAAGTGGTCCGAACAACTCTAACTCATCATGTTATCTTAGCCCGTGTCTGTATTAACATAGCTGGAAGCTCAACATGTGCAGAGACATTAACTCACGCTGTTAGTAGTGTTAACTGCAGTGCGAGTCCCGTAGCAGCTCGCCCCCGTTAATCAATTACAGCGGCTGCACCGGCAACGGGAGCGGCGCGACAACCACAGTCTGTCGCGCGACAACTCTATTTTACGCGGCTCTTCTATTTTTGTCGCGCCACGCTCCCCTACGCGACCCTCCATCAGATAAAAACTACATGAAATAGTGTGCTAAACGAGTACAATGTGTAATGAATAAACCATTATCAGAGGTGATATATGATGATTTTTTTTTCATGCATTTACCCATGTTTATCCGTGACATTGTGTAGGCTAAATGTCCGTGGCGGACATTTGAAAGCGCATGACATCCGTCATAACCAAAATAACAATCCTCCTGTGTACTCTTGGGTCTTTCTAATTAAAAAGCTTATATCTCAACAGTTTTACCACAAAGTATGACTTTCTTGACCTTAAAATGTATGTTTTAAATTCATTAACGACATATTTGGATTTCATGTCACAACTCAAACGGGACCAAAAGATAATATTTCTCTCCTCATTCACTGCCATTCATATTTTTCCGATCTAAGGTCCCATGAGCTTCACCGGAAGGGGCGTCACTTCAGCACTCTATAGGCAATTATCAGAGCCCTTGAATAGATGTTGTTATATTCTACGGCACTGGCAATTATACAACAGTTAGTTTCGACCGAGTAATTTGATTGGACAAGAGGCATTCCGTGAGTGCTGATATAGAGTATAACATCACTGGGACTTGTAACAGTAAAATCACTCCACTCACAGGTGTTATAAATATAAATACAACCGTTAATTAACCAGCTGTCACACTCGCTACATTGACGCAAACTGACTCTATAGCGTTACACCAAGAAGATGGATATTTTCCCCCAAATTACATTTGAATTAAATTATGAGTGGTCGTCAGGAGAGGACGAGGAAAAGGAAAGCCAGGACTCTTCAGTGCAGACCTCCAGGTGTGTTTGAATACGGCCGTGCCAACATCCAGGTTTGCAAACGTTTCATCAGCCGAACAGGACGAAGTTACACAGTTGCAGATCAATGTAAATACAAAGTAGCTTGTGAGTTCCTGGCGTGTGTGCTGCGTTGCCTGGCAACGGACTGGGGTAAATGGTTTTTTTTTCACGGAGCTACATAACATTCTTAAATAATTTATTTCATCACCTTTTTTTAACATTTCCTTACTCAGCATTGCTGTTTAAGCTGTTGTTGACCTGTTGTATAAAAGCATTATCACACTCGAGGTCGTGATGTTGTACTGTATATCGTCACGGCTGTAATTGTCTTCGGAGCCGTGACGATATATAGTACAACATCACGACCTCGAGTGTGATATTGCTTAAATATAGTCACTCCAGTGTTTACTTTTTTTTTCCATTTTCCTTACTTCTGTTTTTCCTCTTCTTCTTCTGTTTTGAATCTCATTCTTGCTCGACTTCCTGGGTCCTAGCAGAGCCCTTGAATAGAGAGTCGCGTCATCTCCATTCACTCTAATGGGCCATTTTTTTCACAGCAATGGCGGTTCGCGGAGCCTCTCAATAGTTCCCGGAAGTAAGCGGCACATGCTAGCAGCGGAATGGAGGTACAGCAGAAAAGACCGGCTGTGTTGTACTTTTAACGGGTAAGATGTCAAAAGACTCAAATTTTACATTATCAGCACAACTTATCTAAATTAACATGTGCATTAAAGCTTGTTAGTGGATTATCTCCCATTAAATTAGTAGATTTATGTAATGTTAAAAGATAAGATAACAGATTAGGCTAGGACACTGTACATAGCTACTGTACCCACCATACAGGTAATGCTAACCATGAACAGCCTGTTAGTTTTAAATTGTCTTCTCCTAAACCATTTTATCTAACATTGGCAAGTTAGAGTGCTTCCAGTCCTGATTTTTTTGCGATTATTGAATATTAGCTCAGTTAAATATGACATTGCTGCGTGATTGTTGAGTGGAAGAGGTGAATTTAAACAAAAACGTAACTTATGGTCTGTTTTTTAGGCTTTGTGATTCTGTTGAGTATACCTGTCTATAATATGTTACAGCTCAGCTGATATTACATTGATAGTGAAGTGAGAGGGAAGTTTGAGGACCTGAATGAGATCTAAAACACAAGATTAAGTAATTTTGATAAATGAAACATACCAAGCTAAATGGGGAATTATTCTAAATACCAAATGTATGTATATATTACTGTGTTATACATATGATCATGCTAAATATATATTCTATCACAGTATTAGATATGTAATCTTGTATATTTGTAACCTTCTGTAGGAGCACTGGGTGGTGGCGGAGCAGTGATGCTGCAGGACCACTGTGTGAGAGAGGACGCTGCAGGTAAGTGCTGAGTCGATCTTGGTGAGACTTAAAACTTAACAAGGTGTGTTTCAAGTAGTTCCAGAGATAAGGAATCATACTTAATATGTATTATACTGCATTTTATATTAATTATATAAGTAATTATATTGAATATAATATATGATATACAATGTTGGGCAAGTTACTTTGAAAATGTAATACATTGCATATTACCAGTTACCATCATTATAATATTAGTAGGCATTATAAAATAGAAGAGGGTCATGTTGTTTCATAGTGGCTAATTAAAGCACAGAGTTTTAATTACAGTTCATTAACTTACAAATCCAGTAGTGGGCGATATTGTATAGTCTGATGAAGGCTCTCCTCTGGAGTGCAGATCTGACCGATTCACGCATTCACATGCAGTGGTTACAACTTTGTATTAAAATCTCCTGCTTATATAAATAACAGTGTGATGATATTAAACAATTAAATAGTCTAGACCTTTTCAAATAAAGAGATAGCGGTAACTGTGGACACAGGGACGACCAGACACAGGATCAAAGTCTGATAACTTATGAGATAGGGATGAATATTTGAGAGCCAGTCATATGAAACACATTAGGCAAATGCTGAGGTTAGCACAACAAAAGCAAATTGGCTTGCCAGTCAGTCACTATGACAAGTGCAAATTAATACACCAGAGCTGGTAGACCCACCTGCTGGTTTCCAGTGTGCTGATCACTTACAACAGCACCCAACACTGAAATATAAGTAAACATTTTAAGGAATTATACTGCAGTGATGCTGCGTGCCTCGTGTCAGGAGTGCTGCAGGATGAGGACCATTAATGTTACAGTTCAGGAGTGGCAATAACAATGATGTTACAGGTCCAGGGGTGCATTGTGGTGCAGCGGCACTCACAGCATGATGCACAAAGATGGTGGGAATTAAATCTGCTCTAAGCTTTGTCTTGCCCTTTTTGGTCTTGGCAAACTGGTCTGCACCAAAATGTGCCTGCAGTGACTTCCCACACACAACTCACTTTTGTCTACCCACAGACATATCCCATAGTGGTTGAATGCAAACAGTATTCGGGAACACTTTATACATGAGACAACTTCAAACAAATGCAATTAAAACTGATGCCACTTGTCATACTTGTGCCTTATCTCACAAGGCAACGTCAGACCCAGGCATATATACATGTGCCTAACCATTTCTCCTCTTTCTTTTTTTTCTCTTTCAGCACAAGAACAACAGGGGGATGCAATGGAGCCTGAACTCACCCCGCAATGAAACAACCCCCTTACCCTGAGTCTCAACTCTGTGGGTTTTGCAAGCCTTTCCCTGTTCCTTATTTTTAATAAACCAAACACTGAGCTTCCCAATAGTGTGGTCTTTGTTTGTGGAAATGTGCTAATGCAGTATTTGAGAATGATAACCTTACATATTTTTGTTGTTGTAGTCTGTAGTGAGTCTCAGGTTACTCCTGCTGACTTAAGCCAAAAAAAAAATTTCTCATCTCTGTGTCAATTAAGAAATTGTGCATGTGTACCTTTCTCTCTAAACGACTGGAACATCCCCACACAGCACCATGGTGGAGACTGTACGAGAGGACAACACAGAAGGAAGGGCACAGACAAACTGCTTGACATCCAAGTCATGTTTCTGAGTTTATTAAAAATTAATTTGTTATAGTAAATAAGTACATAGTAAAGACAAAGATACATAAAATATATATGTCTATAAACTGCTGCTGCTGCTGCTGCTAGCCCAGTGACCCATTGTGCTGTCACTTGACAGTCATTGGTAGTCACCCGTCAGTCTCCTTCTGTCCCACTGAAAGTAATTAAGATAACATTAGTTATAAATCATTACAACCATTACATTATCAATAAATGTTAGGATGTGATTACTCTTGACAACCATACAAGACTAAGGACAGAATTGAAAACATCATTTAAAGCAATAAAAGCAACATGCTGTTTCACCAAGGTAAGGAAAGACTGACATATTTAAACAAGGCAGACAATAATATATGTTATATACACATTACACATAGTTATACTGTGTAATAATACATTTCTATCATATAATTATGCTATGTCATTAATATACTTACACTGGCCTGTATACATATATAAATACATATCCTTATCCACAACCCTTATATTTAAACTGTGCACTGTGTACATACTGTGTAATATTCCTGTGTGCAATATTTTGCCACTTCCTGTGGGATATCTATACATTCCTATATTTTTACAGTAAAAATACTACACATCATGTGTATTACACTCATCCTGTGCAGCTATTAATCATGAGCATACAGTATCTGTTTCAGTGAAAGGTGTATATGGATTTTCTATTATTTTCATTATGTCTAATTTGTATTTAAAAAATATTTTATCCTTTTTCTATTGCCTCTGCTCTGAGCTGCTGTAACGTGAATTTCCAAGGTTGGGATTAATAGAGTCGTACTTAACTGTAGTAAACTATCACTAATCCTCAAATATTAGCACATTTTACTTTAAAAAACAACATAAAGATGTAACTGTTTACGGCGTGCTACGCGTATATTATAAATAAATGTAGTTATTGACAGCTACTTACCAAAAATCGGAGTTCTGTCTTTCAGTATTATGTATTTAAACGGCCCGCCAGTAACTTCCGGGAACTATCTGAGGTCTACATGAGTCGCACAAGCATTTTAGACTTCCGTTGTCGCGACTCTGTTATATTCTACGGCACTGGGTCCTAGCACCTCGTGGGGCGGGTACAGCTGACCATTCAGCCAATCATGCTCATTGTTCAGAGACAAACGTCACCCGTATCTCATGCTAAGCAAAGTGCGATTGGCTGGAAACATGTCACATGGGAACAGATGCCTTTAAGGCTCACAAAAAAAAAAAACTCCGACATACTGATTAAAACCACACATTAATGAAGTGGTCAAATTATCGTACATTTGGCCTTTTTTGGGATTATTGATCGTACATCGTACAGAGGGCCAAATTATCGTACAAATACGATAATTATCGTACACCTGGCAACGCTGGGCAGAGGTGACAATGGAAGCTCCATCCTTGTCGCTAATGTTATGTCCAGTGATGTGCGGACAACGACTTGTGCTCACTGTCTTTATTTACATCAGCGGCCATTCATACACTCATCACCCTACTAACTTGGGGGGGTGTTCAAGATGGCGGCCTGAACAGACGCTTTTCGCGACGCTGTGCACCAAACTTTAACAAAGACTAGTGAAAAGTTTTCCATTCCACTCATTTATCGACTCCTCGTTTGGAAGAAGTAAGTTAACACTTGGTGACATTTTCTGAGCTATAATGGGCAAGAAACAGGACCGCGCGGACTCTAAAGACAGTGAAAGGAGAGCTAGCTCAACACAGGCGCTAGCTGCACTAGCTAGCGGCGGGCATGACTACACGGCAGAAGCGGGTGACATGGAAGGCTTGTTTTTTTCTGATGATGACTTCCCGCAGCTCCCTTTTCACCAAGTGACACTCCAGCGCTGAAGAAAAAGCCTCAGGAAGCTGTCAACTTCTCTGTGACCAGAAATATAACTGCTCAACTTGATGACATGATGAAACTCATCAACAACCGATCCGACATGATTGAGGAGAAAATCTTAGGGCTGAATAGCAAGGTGGATAATGTGGTTGTCGACCTGAAAGCGGTTACCGCGAAGATAACTACTCTTGAGCAGCGTGTTGAGCTCGAGACCTACACAAGGCGCTGGAACCTAAAGCTAATGGGTGTCCCCGAGTCCGTCCAGCAGGAGAGCGTCCACCTTGAAGTTACCAAAACATGCCAAGCTATCCTTCCTGCCATGAAAGACAGGCTCATGGACGCCATCGACACCGTTCATCGCCTGGGGAAGAAGCGCCACTCTGATGAGGACACCAGAACCAGGGGCATCATACTCCAGTTCACCTCGCACGTCTGCAGGGATGCGGTATGGAAGGCGACGAAAAACTCTTCCTATCTGAAGAAGCGAGGCTTGCAGTTCAAGGAGGACTTCTCCAGAGGATACCGAGAGAGGAGGCAGAGGCTGTGGCCGGAGGTTCAGAAGGCTCGAGCAGCGGGGAAGACAGCGTTTTTCCGTAGGGGAGCGTAGCGCGACAAAAATAGAAGAGCCGCGTAAAATAGAGAGTTGCCGCTCCCGTTGCCGGTGGAGCCGCTGATTAACAGGGGGGCGAGCTACGGGACTCGCGCTGCAGACGTGTCGCGCCGCTGATGTGCCCGGTGGAGCCCGGCCGTAACTGTCTCGGACTCGGGACGGGTCGTCTTCGGTCAGGAAAATGCGGCCCGAGCCGTGCTCTAGTGTGCTTACCTGTGTGTGTGCGCTTTGTCTGTGTGTGTGCGCTTTGTGTGTGTGTGTGTGTGTGTGTGTGTGTGTGTGTGTGTGTGTGCGCGCATCGGGGCGAAACTCTCTCTCTCTCTCATCCTATTACTGCATCTTGCTAACTCGGCCATTCTGGATGTCACTAACTCAGCTTCTTCTCCGGAGCCTTTGTGCTCCACTGTCTCTCAGGTTAACTCGTATTGCAGCGGTGCCTGGATAGTGTGACCTGTGTGGTTGTGCTGCTGCCATGGTCCTGCCAGATGCCTCCTGCTGCTGCTGCTGTTATCATTAGTCATACTTCTACTGTTATTATACACATGATTATTGTCACACATGTATACACATGTACACATGTCACACATGTATCTCTCTCTCTCTATCTCTTTCTCTGTCTCATTGTGTCATACGGATTACTGTTAATTTATTATGTTGATCTGTTCTGTATGACATCTAATTGCATGTCTGTCTGTCCTGAAAGAGGGATCCCTCCTCAGTTGCTCTTCCTGAGGTTTCTACCGTTTTTTTTCCCCGTTACTCTGTGCAGGTGGTGGGAGAAAGGAGGGATGACAGCCAAGCTGTCATCTCTGAGGACGAATGACTCCCATCCTCTGCAGGAGGAGATAAAAGCTCTGGAGAGCTCCTCCAGCGATAGACTGATTCAAGGAATCAGGTCCTTCCTGCCTGTTGCTGTCAGGCTTCATAACCAGCACTGCTCACAGTAAACTGCACCATGGACACTTTAGGGACACTATGGACACTTATGGACACCACTATAAGCATTGTTGTCCCCCATGTTATTTGCACATTCAGTATTCACTTGCACTAAATATGTTCACTTTAATCCATTGCTCACTTTTTTTTTTTATCCACTGCTCATCATTATTATTATTATTCTTATTGTTGTTATTATTTATTGCTGTTTCTTGTATCTTTTGTACTTTTTTCTGCACGCCTAGTTTTTTAAGTTTTTAAATAGGCCTATTGAAATCTTTAATTTGACTCTTTCCCCTTGACTGCTGTAACACTGGCATTTCTCAATTGTGGGATCAATAAAGGTGTATCTTATCTTATCTTACCTTATCTTATCTTATCTTAAAGGGTTTTTTTTGGGGAGTTTTTCCTTATCCGCTGTGAGGGTCCAAAGGACAGAGGGATGTTGTATGCTGTAAAACCCTGTGAGGCAAATTGTGATTTGTGATATTGGGCTTTATAAATAAAATTGATTGAAAAAAACTGATTGATTGTTTTATGTTAATGTCATACAGTGAGTATTAGTGTGTGTTTATTTGTTCTATGTATCTGGCACACACTTTTGTATACATTTCTGTTTGAGTATGAAAGGCAACGGTGGTTTGGCTGCTTCTTTAGTTGGCAGTTATCAGCCAACTCATCCTTTATATTTTTCATTTATTCTTTTGAGTAGGATTAAAGTCACAAAGCACTTCACATCTTATTATTAGTGTACTCTTACTAATGTAGGCTAGTTGTAATGTCTGTGCTGACCGCACCGTGTTTAGTTAGGTTACATCGTTTCAGTGAGGTTACCTTAACTGTTGTAAGATATGACAAGTGGCAACACCCTGGTTAAGGTCTTTGATAGAACAGCTGTTGATGTAACCTAACTAAACACGGTGCGGTAATAAGATGTGAAGTGCTTTGTGACTTTA